AAGTAACTACGTGGGGGTGTGGGTATTCAATGTCTAATTACGGGTTCTAATACGAAATTCTAGACATCATGCTACATATCATAAGAAAGCACGTTCAAATATATAAATAATTTTCTGGCACATTTATATTTAGTTGCCTTGACAAGTGAAAAGGGGGGGGGGGTATTTGAAATAAAAATGCGGGGCTTAATCCAAAATTCCGTATATCTATACTGAAAAGTAAAGTTAATCCTCTCTTCTTAAAATCTATTTATTATATTTTCGGCGGAATGCATATATATACTCTTTTAAATTAAAATTGATACAAGTTTGGTAGCCTTTACTGGCTGAATTAAAGAGAGTGGTGGGTGCGGCGAGTGTTTAAGGTCAAAATACGTGTCTTAATACGAAATTCCAGTCATTGTGTCATACATCACCGGAAAGTAGGTTGCTATGACTCTTTAAATCTACTTGTTATTTTCTGGCACATTCATGATTACATACTTTAGAAGAGATAAAAGCATTTTTATTTTGAGCAAAGAAATGGGTTACTAAAAATAGACTACTTTCAATTGATTTTATTTATCGAAGGCTCGAATTAGCCCATACCGAGCGCGTGATTACACTCAAGTCATGGTAATCCAGCGAATTTGGTAGTGAGGGCCAACTCGATTCGCAGTTAGTGAAGGGTAAGTATTCTTAGTGAAGGATGAGATAGTGAGGACTGACTTTATCTCGACAAAGGACAGCACTCTATTATTCATTGCCGCTTCAACATTGATAAGTCGACACCACGACAACCCGACATTACGACATTTTTACGTGACAATACGACATTTTTACGCGACATTACGACATTATGTCGTAGTGTCGGGTTTAAACTGTCGTGATGTCGGGTTGTCGTGTTATAATGTCGTGAAGGGCGACACCACAGCATCACGATATGATACCAATCAGCCACCATACTTTGCACACTTGTTCTATGTGTACAAAAAAAACCAAGAAGACACATAACAGTCCGAAAGTTTGTTGTGTAATAATTTAGGTTTTTTCAACGCCCGCGTCCAACTAAGTGATATCACAGACAAAAATACGAGTGGAAAGAAAAAAAAACTATAGCAAACGAGGTTTCCGCGACCTAGATCAGTAAACAATCATGCGTCACTTCTGTTTCTTCAAATCTTCGTTACGCATCTATCGTAGCAATGATCTCTGTGTTAAAATTACATTTGGAACGTATAGAACCAGTTCTATCACATATGTGTTAAAGGCTAACATCAATATTAATTAAAATTAATTGAAATAGTAGATACAGATAATTATACATATTTCAAGCACTGTGTTCTTTTTCTTAAAAGGAGAGAATATTTTGAACTTTAGTGAATTATAGAAGTCTTAGAATTTGTTTATATATCATATGGATAAGAATACCGCTTATGGAAAAGAAATGAAATGAAATGGGGTTTAACGTCCTACTGTTCTGCTCCTAACCTGGGCTAATGAAGACGGGCATACGCCATACAGTGTGCTATGAGGGAAATTTTGCCCGCGCAGCGGCGCTACGGCCTACTCTTATATCGAATTCTAACTGCCAAGGGATCTTTTACTTGTACGCCAATGTGTACACGGGACCTCGGTTTTTCGTCCCATCCGAACGACTAGACAGCTGTCCTTGTCAGGCCCTCCGTTCTGCATCACTGACAAGGGGAAACCACGCCGGAAAATCGGGATGAACTTTCTCGGCCAATTCAGGGATCGAACACCCGACCTCCAGGCTAGCGAGCCAGCGTCTTACCCACTTAGCCACGTGATCCCCGTAACGCTTATGGAAGACCAAACAGCTCTTTATTCAGTGTTCTTAATTCTTAGTTCTTAATTCATAGTCCTTAATTCGTAGTTCTTAATTCATAGTCTAATTTATAGTCCTTAAATTTTATTTCTTCATTTGTTGTCGTATTTCGACATTTGTACACTAAAATTAACATTTGTATCTTAAAATCAATATTTGTTTCACAAATCAGATATATTTTGTCATGTCACATTTGTAAAATTTATTTTTGTTTAATGCAATTGTATTTTAATATAAAGATAAAAATTATTTTAGTAAATCAAAAAAAATAATCAACATTTATATTTCATCATAGACACACAACGAGAAACAAATCTCGAACAACAAATTTCCAAATACAAATCTCCAAATACAAATCTTGCAAAACATTTCTCCAAAATTCATCGAACCGAAACATTATGACGACATGAGCCGAAATACAATATGTCACCAAATAATAATGGGGAATCGAGTATAAGCATATGTTCAATGAGAAATATCGCTCGATGACTGCGACCCTAGTGAAACCACTTGCGTAGTATGGCTAATCGGACCGAGCCTTCGATTAATAAAATAAATTGAAAGTAGTCCATTTTCAGAAATTAGGTTTTGTCTGATAGCGACATATTTCTTTGCTTATAGAGAGAGAGGGAGAGAGAGAGAGAGAGAGAGAGAGAGAGAGAGGGTTTAACGTCTACTCAACTAAGAATAAACTAATATTTCAGTGGTTTCAATTACATGTAGAAACCATCAAAAGCCAAAAACATATAAAACCACTGCCTTGGCAATCGATTTTGATGGATCAAAGAGATTAAGAAAATTGTAGGAAATCCCAGGATTTGCTGAGAAGGCTGGGATTTCTTATGATCTCTATTTTTAACCGAATATAAATAGCCTGGAGAGTTCGTAACAGTAGGTTTACGTCCGACATTTCCGTGCAGAGCACGCCAAGAACTCACCGAAACAGACCGTTTCATTGGCTGATCCTCACATCAACTATACCGTAGCATTGTGAAGACAAGTAAAACGAAATTTTGAACCATAAAATACGAATCGAAATAACATCCGTGTTTTAATCAGATAACGAGAAAACACTTTTCAGGTTAATTTTGAACCAAATGGTTTCTGTCCCCAAAATTACATTTTGTCCCCACCCCAAACAATGGGAATCTTACACACAAATTTAGAGATGTACAGCGGAATTAAAAAGTAATGTTTTTACAAAGCTCTAAGAAAATCATCATTTAAATCAGCGTGATCTCCTTTCCCGCCAATTTTACCCCCCCCCACTTCCATACACGCATACCTGCTACCCCCCCACCTCCCCACAAATCAAAACAGTTGTCCAGGAGCATCATATACACTTCTTTAGAGATGGATAGTCCTAGAAATTTATGTTTTATTAATATATAACATGATCATAATTTATGTCAACATAATCACACCCCCCCCCCCCGAATTGTAGACATGGGTTCTTTATGATGGTTCTTTAAATAAAATGTCATGGTTAAAAAGGTAAAGTGTGCGTTTTTATGTGAACGTTTATTGTTGTCGTCCGTCCGTCCATGCACAATTGGTTTGTGGACACTCTACAGGTCACATTTGTTATCCGATTTTGACGAAACTCCAAACGGATTTGATTGCTGTCGTTATTTGTGACATCGGACCGCAACTTAAGGATTATAGCGCCTGATTGCAGTATGAAAAATCACATTTTTAGCTTGTATCCACTTTAGAGGTCACAATTTTTATCCGATTTTCATGAATCTTGACATGCATGTTCCTGTCGATATTCTCGCACATCGGTCTGTAACCTCCTGGATTATGGCTCCCGATTGTACGACAAATCACGTTTTAGCTTGTGTATCCAATTTAAAACATCGTTCGAATATATCACCGTTACACCATAATGACAGTTGAGTTCCCATTTTATGAAAATCGGTCAGAAACTGCCGAACAAAATGACCACCCCTTGTACGCAAATAGTGTAAAAGTATGGTATATCAAGGTTGTGGACCCTCTAGAGGTCACAATTGTGATTTAATTTTGATGCAACTCTTATGTTTGAACGCCAATAGTCTAAAGGTATCGGAACGTAACTTCCGGGATTAAGACCCCTTATTTTTCGAAAAATCACATTTTTATCTTGTGGGTTCTTAAGATCACAATTTGTTTTCTTAAAAACCGTTTAATTATCACGGTTACCCCAATTTCGTAAAAATCCGACCGAAACTGCCGGTCAAAATGGACACTCCTTGTACGCAAATAGTCTAAAAGTATGTAATACCAAGGTTGTGGGCCCTTTAGATGTCACAATTTTTATTCGAGTTTGATCAAACTCTAAATGTATGTTTATAACGCAAATATCTTGGTTCCTTTCGATATATACGCATATCGGACCGTCACTTCCGGGATTATGGACCCTGATTGTACGAAAAAAATAGCATTTTTTAGCGTATGGATGCTCTAGAGGTCACAAGTGTTTTCCGATAAAAAAAAACACCAATGAAAATCGGAGCGGAACTGCCCTACAAAATGGCTGCTGGTTGTGGACCCTCTAGAAGTGACAACTTTTATCCAGTCTTGAAAAAACTTAAAATATATGTTTATATTCAAAGGATTTCGGTTCCTTTTGATATTCGTGCATATCGGGAAGGGGGGGGGGCAAAAGTTTAGCGCGTGCGCGTTGCATCATAAGGTCTGTCACTGAGTTGGTTGTATGTGACAAGGATAGCCCATTAACCTCGAGGGATCTTTTCCGGGTCCCGGGTCTTCCCGTTCCCCCCACTGCTAAAGACCATTACGCACAAGGCTATTATTGAAATAAAATTGAACCGTATGTTAGTTCCGAACTGACTTTTGCAATATGTGGGCTTATCTGGCCTGGCAACGACTGGTTTGTAAACAAAATCAAAATTTATTGAGGCACCCTAAAATTTTAACACCCATATTATACCAACTGAATAATATAAACCCATGAAATTCTAATAAGTCAAAAGCTTTGATTTTTGAGTATTGCACTTAAATACGAAATCGGTTATCACTTATGGGATGGCGTAGTACACGGACGTATTATTCAAAAATAAGATTGATTTTATCATTGACCAAATTAAAGAGAGATAGGCGAATCTCTAGAAAAACTCTTTCACAGAGAATTTCCATTAGGGCAAGATAAAGCGACTAAAACCTTGAACAATCACCCCGTGGATGCATATGTCAAAAATTATGTGAGCAATTCAGATTAAAATACAGTGTTACTAAGAAATATATACATACAACCAAAGTATTCATAATAGTGTACATATGTATCGGTAAGTGAGTTTATTATTTAGTACGATAGTCACACAGTTGTTTCACAGTGCGTATAATGGTCGTCCGGAGGAGAGAAATCTTTATATATACTATTCAAAAAAAGTAGGGGATATTTGATTTTTAAGTGTTATTAAAGTCACCTAATGAAACTGACGAAGAAACAAATGACAAAATGAAATGAAGTTCACATTCATCGATTTATTCCAAATGATCGTTAGACTAAGTAAGGCATACTGACCATTATAAGGGTAAAATGATACCCGGGGTCAAACAGCAAAGTTACCACAGCATCACGTTGTTGACGTTGACGTAACCTCTGTCCAAGCATGTCCCAGACATGCTCGATGGGGGAGAGGTCGGGACTCAGTGCTGGCCAAGGTAATGTGGTGATGTTCTGTTGTTGGGGGTAACCTGTAACGATCCTGGCCCTGTGACATCTTGCGTTGTCATCCTGGAAGATGAAACGGCGGCCATGACGTCGTGCGAACGGCACAACATGGACTGCCAAGATGTTGTCCCGGTAGTACTGGCCTGTAACACGCCCTGCAACAACATGTAAAGCCGTTCTTCCAGCAACAGTGATGCCCCCCCACACCATAACAGAACCACCCCCAAATCGATCATGTCTGATGACGTTAACGTCTTGGAAGCGCTCGTTTCGACGACGCCACACCCTCCTACGCCTATGACATTGTAAATCTTCATTCCAGCCATGCAGCAAAAGACCACTACGGCAAGGTGGTAATAAAGAAAGGTCTGTTATTTTTTCACCCAGAAAATCTTTCTTCTAGCGTCATCTACTGATGTAAGTCGCCTTCCGCAATATTTTCTACCTTTGTCCGTTACATTATCAATCAAAATATGTATATTTGGATCATTGTTTGCGTGGAGAATGAGAATACAATTTGTTTCAGCTCCTTCATTAATTTGCAATGCGAAGAGGAGTAGGTAAGCTATTTTGGTGTCCTCGTGGTTTGTTGTCAGTTCTAGGATATTCTCGACACTTTCAATACTAATCTTGATATTTTTTTTTGATCCAATCAAGATTAGTATTGAAAGTGTTGAGAATATCTCGGCCTACATGCTTTCAGTTGTAATGACCATCTGTCTTTCTTTCATAATTGCCTGTTTAGAAAAAATGTTTGTACCATGTCAGCGAAAGGCGACTTACATCAGCAGATGACACTAGAAGAAGGATTTTCAGGAGGGATTTTAATTGTGATGAAAAATAACAAATACTTCTTTCTTTATTACCATCGTGTCTGAGTATAGACTTTTGCTGTACATTAAACGCAAGAATATGATCAAACAAGATGACCTTGCGGTACAAGGCTGGAATGAAGATTTACAATGTGAATGGGTATCTGAAGCATATCCAAAGGATATATGCGAGCTGCTGATAAGTCATCCAGAAGATATCTATCCTGCTCATAGTATGAACATTGATTTTGAATCTTCTGACGAAATTGGTACTGAACGAAAAAGCGATCTGATTAAAATACAGATGTATATTTCGTTTCGTTTTTTTATACTTCCGATGGTCTACATGAAAATCTGACCAGTTGTATTGGGAGGTCGTGCCAGGGGTCATAGAGCTGCTTTTGACCCTATGACGTCAGACATTGATTAATCAGTCAGCGCTGACGTGTCTAGGGGTTTACCCACAGTTCCGTGCAGAGCACGCCAAGAACTCGCCGTAACAGACAGCTTCATTGGCTAATTCATCACATCAACTAGACAGTCTGTTATATAACAACTCTTCCGGGTCCTAGTGTTGTGAAGACAAGTAAAACGAAATTTTGAACTAAAAAACGAAACGAAATAGCATCTGTGTTTTAATCAGATAGAACGAAAAAGCCAACAAGGAAACACTTTTCAGGTCAATTTTAAACCAAGTGGTTTCTGTCCCCAAAATTACTTTTCACCCCACTCCCCGCCCAATACAGTGGGAATCTTTAGAGATGTGCAGCGGAATTAAAAAGTAATGTTTTTACCAAGCTCTAAGAAAATCATCATTTAAATCAACGTGAACTCATTTCCCGCCAATCAGTTGTCCAGGGGTATCATATACACTTCTTAAGAGATGAACAGTCCTAGAAATTTCTGTTTTATTAATATATAACATGATAATCATTTATGTCAACATTTCCACCAAATTGTAGACATTGAACGCCTAATATCCCGAAAACGCTCCCTCAAACGCCTGATCACCACCCAGATTCAGAATCTACGCAAAAAACTGGTCTAGAAAAACTTGGTCTCATAAATTCACAGCTCGGGTGGCGATTCCCCCCCCCCCCCTTCAACCACTGGACTATATGTGGGCTTATCTGGCCTGGCAACGACTGGTTTGAAAACAAAATAAAACTTTATGGAGGCACCCTAAAATTTTAACACCCATATCATACCAACTGATTAATATAAACCCATGAAAATCTAACAAGTCAAAGCTTTGACCGTTGAGTATTGCGCTTAAATACGAAATCCGTTATCACTTATGACTGGCGTAATACACGGACGTATTATTTAAAACAAAGATTGGTTTTATCTTTGACCAACTAAAGAGAGATTACACGAATCTCTAGAAAAACTCTTTCACGGAGAATTTCCGTTAGGGCAAGGTAAAGCGACACATTAAAAAGTGAACACGCAGTTTAAAACCCAGAACAATCACCCCGTGGATGCATATGTCAAAAAGTATCTAAACAATGCAGGTTAAAATACAGTGTTACTAAGAGATCTATGTATAGCACCGACAAACTGTTTGCGTATGCAGTGATTGTAATATGTAAGACATGATATGTATCGGTAAGTGAGTTTATTATTTAGTACGATAGTCACAAAGCTGTTTCACAGTACGTATAATGGCTGTCCAGTAGATAGAAATCTTTATATAAATTCTGTATTCTTTTATCGCGTATTATGACATCGTAACTATCTTCAAAGCCGAGAATACCACTCGTTTCCAGGTTTTCATTCCAGCAATGCAAACTGGACAGACTGACATTCAACGCTATCGTACTTACAGCCAGAATTCGACGATGAGATATACATGTTTATTTTATGATCAGTAGTGGCATACCGCGTTTTATTTTATGATCAGTATTGGAATGCCGCGTTTTATCAGTGAAATAAAAGTGTTATTCTACTGGCTAGAAGCGGACAAAGTAGTCCATGTTGTTTTTACCTAAAACGATTGTAAAAATCATAAAATAAATAGAACACTTGTCGTTTTAGAGTGAATAACATATTTTATTTCATCTCTAAGCAAGAAAACGTTTATATTTTCACACGTTTATATTTTCACTCATGCGACGCATTCGTGAAAATATAAGTTTTCTTGCTTCTCGATGAAATAAAATATGTTATTCACTCTAAAACGACAAATATCCTCTATTTATCAGTGAAATAAAAGTGTTATTCCACTGGCTAGCAGTGAAATAAAACTTGTTATTTCACTGGCCGCCGGGACTACATTACCCAACTACACGACGGTCACTAGTTCAAGTCGTTGAGTCGAGCTCGTGTAAGTGTTGTTGTAAAGACCCGTGGCATGATTTCACATCGCTTGACTTACATGTATTTCTATAAACACATCGATATCAGTAAAAGTAACATGTCCTGAAAAATGTAATAATCCACACTCTCACAAACGCCCAGTAAAACACTTTTTAGTGACAAAATTATGAAAACAATATGGCCGACACGCCGACTTGTCGATCGTTACATTCTCAAAGTATTCATACACCAGAAGCAGATAAAGATGTAAAGCGGTCTAACCCCCCGCGTTGTCCAAGCGGACAAAGTAGTCCATGTTGTTTTTACCTAAAATGATTGTAAAATCATAAAAAATAGAACATTTGTCGTTTTGTCGTAAATAACATATTTTATTTCATCTCTAAGCAAGAAAACGTTTATATTTTCACTCATGAAAATATAAGTTTTCTTGCTTCTCGATGAAATAAAATATGTTATTCACGACAAAACGACAAATATCCTCTATATATTATCTATGACATCGTGCCACTATTAAAGATGGCCAGAATTCGACAATGAGATATACATGTACGTATATTATCTATGACACCTTGCCACTATTAAAGCAACACACCTATCGTTATTTTAAAAGATGTTGAAAAGCGAAGAAGGTAAAGGGGTATTCTATTTTAAATTATTGTGGGTGTTTCTCGAGTCACAAATTTGCATTTGAGCAATTATTCAGGACAAAAGTATAGATTAATAACAACAAATTATGAAGAGCGCAAGTCATATATTTGCCTGAAAATTAATGTTTTGAAATGTTAACATAAATGTTTCAGGTCTCTTGGGAAGCCTGTCCCATAAAACTACACCATGATTCAGAAAAGGACGATCTCAATACTTGGTTCTTGATTTGGATTTCACTGTCAAGTACAGTTGATCGATTGATCTTAAAGTACGAGATGGTTAATAAAAGGACAGATCGTAAAGTACCTAACTTTCTGACAATCTGACTTTTCGGTCAGACGGGTAAAGTGAAAACAAAATTATTATTTCATCTATTTGGCAAAATAAAGTGCCCGAAATCTGAATTGACTATGTAGTAAAGTATTTTGTCTGGAGCCACTATACTTTGTGCGACATTTTTCGGGCATCGATTATTATTTATGAATGCAGCTTCAGAAGTCTGAACCTTTTGGTTGCAAATCGATTGGAAACTTTGAACTTACTTAATTCAAGGGCTAGAATAGCGGCGGTAAAAGGGAAGGGGGGGGGGGGTGAATCGCCACCCGAGCTGTGAATTTATGAGACCAAGTTTTCTAGACCAGTTTTTTTGCGCAGATTCCGAATCTGGGTGGTGATCAGGCGCCTGAGGGCGTGTTTTCGAGATAGGGGGGGGGGGGGTCCAATGTCTACAATTGGGGAAAATGTGATTATGTTAAAAAAACTGATGATCATGTTATATAATTATTAATAAAACATAAATTTCTAGGACAGCCCATCTCTAAATCAGTGTTTATGATGGCCCTGGACAACTGTTTTGATTTGTGGCGAGGTGGGGTGGGTGGTTGCAGGTGTGCGTGTGTGGAAGGGGTGGGGGGTAAAATTTGGCCGCAAATGAATTCACGTCGATTTAAATGGTGATTTTCTTAGAGCTTGATGAAACATTTTTTAATATGTTTATAATATTCCCGTGTTGTGGGGTGGACGCCGGGGTGTGGGTAACATCACAGATAAGATTCGGTATTGCGTATCATTATCAACTGCAGATGGCAGGACCAGAATATGGCGTCGACTTGGCAAGCGTTATGGAGACTCATGGGGAGGTCCAAGCATAAAGGTTTGGGGTGAACTAGAGAGTGGGTCCTGTGGTGTTCCAAAATCTTGGTCCAGGGAGAGGAGGCGGCATCACAGCAGTGCGCTAAATCGATCAAGCTCTCAGACCCCACATCATACCACATTTCGCACGCCATCCAAACAACACCGCTAGAGTTACTCGGGACTTTCTACAGAAAGGTGTCAACGTTATGCACTGACCAGCCCTTAGTCAGGACTTAAACTCGATTGAACATCTTTGGGTGAAATTTAGAGGAGACTTAATAACGTCATACCGAGACCAAACACAGCCGATGGGTTGCGGCAGGCTTTACTGAGAGTGTGGGTCCAGGTGCCAATGGCGTTCATCAATCGTCTGGTCCACACCATGTACAGACGCCGCGCTGCTCTTATTGACACTCGCGGTGGACACAACATATACTGATGTATAGACTGTGTACAGACTCTAAACCTTCTCGTAATGTCTTGGAATTGCTATGAATTAATCACTAATGTGTTAACATACTGTTCACAAATAATTGCTTTGATCCGTGTAGTAAGTCGTTTTCTATAGTGATTTGATTAAAGTGTCTCTCTCATTTTGAAATCGTATTGACGTTTTGTTTTTGCTGTTTAGTATATATCATATTTTCGTGTGAATAGACATGTCAGTTCCACTCCGATGCTAATATCGTAATGAACCGCTTTGTAACAACAGTTATATGAGCATAAATCTATTGGCTAGTTTATCTATTTGGGTCCTTCATGTATGATACATGGTACATGTATATTTAAAGAAGCCTGTGATCTTTAGCATGAATGCACACTAAAATCAAATATATTTATTTGAGAGAAATGGTATCAGATCAATTGCAGAAAAAAAGGGCGCAAAGTATGTATTAGAAATAATTCAATATTATTTTTATTTGATACTTTTTGAGATAGTTGAACTCGGCGCCATGAAAGGAATAGAACTGAACGGTTAACGGTTTCGTTTTCATTAACTTGAACCTTTTACTTAGGACATATTTATTTCATTACAGGAATTCCATAAATATGCTTTCTGTGTTGGTGTTGGTGTTGGTGTTACCGAATCATGTGACAACAGGTATGATACCATGATTTTTTTTATTCTACATGTGTATTACTAAACGGCACTAACGGTTTCTGTCACAGGATATATATAGCACAGAAAGGCCAACTAAGGCCAGGCCCCGAGTTCACAAAGCATTCTCAGACTTAAGTTAAGAATTTACTCAAAATTGCTCACCTTAATTGAACTAAAATATAGCCCTTTATAAAACTTTCACTGTTTTAATGTATCAAATACATCAATAAGAAACTATGTGTAAAGTTTTGTGTTTCTGAATCAAAGATATTTCTCATAAACAGTGATTGAAAGTTGCGTAAATTCGTAACTTAAGTCTGAGAATGATTTGTGAACTCGGGGCCAGGTTGTGTGATGGTTTAATCCATGGGATGAATACGTGGATGATTGATTTATACGACATTCTTACTATATGATACTAATCAAGTCATGCATTCGAAATTCGGACGTCTTAATATGTATGAAGGTCATATACCAATTACATTTGTGATCCGTCTATATATTTTAGTTTCGCACTTCGAATGGAAAAATACAACAAATCCAGTCATCACTACTGCACATAAAAGAATTGCCCTGGAGTGGAAATATGAATCAAAAGAACCTGTCACCAGCATGGTCTTTACACGATTTAGGAACAGCTCGGATACTAAAGTAAGGTTATACAATTGAATTAAACGAAATCATTATTTCGTTCAGATTATAATTGAAGTTGAGCATCACTACATAACGATGTTATTGCTTACATATTGATCATATATCATAATTAAGTGATTGCCGACACTTAATAACATCTGAGGGCCTGGCAAGGGACAACGTATAGTCGTTCGAATGGAACGAAAAACTGAAATCCCGTGTGCACATTGGCATGCTCGTAAAAGATCCCTTGCAACAGGAATTCAATATAAGAGTAGAACGTAGCGCCGCTGTCCAGGAAAAGTCCCTCATGACACACTGTATGGCGTATGCCCCTCTTCATTGGCTCAGTCGAAGCGGAACAGTAGGACGTTTAACACATTTAATTTCATGTAGTAGTATTATGTCTAAATGATTGTATGTAGCCGTTGTTTTTACAGAAGTTGAAAAGGTGATTATTTATGTACAGGTATTCAACGTAAATTATTGCAGGTTCCTGTGGGAAAGTGGACGAGGGAGGATGGATTCAAGTCAGATCCCTTCATATCAACTGTATTGGTACATACTATCGATGAGATAACCGGGACGAATGAGACGAAAGTATCTTTGATACTGGGAGATCCTATTTATATAGACTACGACCTCCAGTACAATTGTCAAGTTAACTATGGTGATCCAGTACCAATGAATTTGTCCGTTGAATTGAAATTGCTGAGTATGAAACTTTTTCCTATTTCTTATTGCTTTCTTTAGGTATATAGCCATAGATTACATAATACTAATCAGCCTCATGATCTGAAAAATGTAAGATTCGGGTACGCATTGTTAGATCCCGTGAACGCAGAAACATTCCCGTGTCCGTCACGGCCATTCACCCTAAGCCAGCCTTGATTCCGCGTAAAAGAGTGATTTTAGCTATTTTCCTGTCGATTTCCAAAGCTAATTTTGCAAGAAACTGACAAAGATTGACTTTTAATAATCTTTGGTCAAACAATACCCATTGATACATTATAATGTGATAAGTAAAAACTTTTGATATAGTGTAGTAAAATTTCTACACTGCATCGAAATATTGTTCCTTTCTTTGCACAATTATCAATTTTTGGCACTTGAGGCACCCCTTACACAGCTGACGGCACTTTTTCTGCACAATTCGTTGGCGAATTCTTAATCTATATAACATTTGAAGCCAGACTTAAATGGACTACGACATGAAGATTTAGCTCTTTCAATGCATTTTTAACCACCATAAATGAATTACTTTCATTTGAAGTCCTAAAAGAATAAATTATATAAACGATATTATTTCGTGGAACTACTCAACTTTCGCAAAATATTTAGTGGTTGGCCTGGACATAGGCCTCATTGTGTGGCAGTCATCTAGCTCTAGATGGCAGTAATGTCTAATTGAAACTCTAATTATTCTTTGATTTCCAGAATATATTGAGAGATTTAGGTGAACCGTATGTATGTAAAATATATTGTTTACAGGTCCAAAGTGGACACACTCTGAAGCTGAAAGACATGCAACGTTAGGAAAAGATATTACATTTATGTGGGAATACAAATATCCTTATCAAGCAGTTGTTGTGTTTATAATACGTGAAAATAACAGTGAAAAGGTAAAACTCAATATGTATCTAATTAACAGCTGGGATACTCTGTACTTTAAGGGCCAATCCCGATAAAAATTTGGAGAATAAAACTGCCACAAGCTGTATTATGCGGTATCTGAATAAAAAAAATACTTGAATTTTATAACAATAATGTGTAGGCGAAATTTACCTTTTGTTATCAAGTACAACAGAGGGGTCATTAACTGTACAGATCTCTAAAGAAATGGGAATCAATTATTAGGTAATCCAACGAACAAATTGACCCGAAATCTTAAAACGACTCAATATTTTGAGCTGAAATTTTGAGACAAGGTAAATACACCTGTCCATTCCTCTATATTTGGGCGCTTAAATTTCATAGTACTCGCACTTTTATTTTTGAGTCCCTTTAATGTTAAAGAGGTAGTCCCAGTTTTAACAAAAGGGTGCAAATATAAACAATACGCAAACTGCAATTTACACCACAGCCTTTCACATTTTATGTACATGTACAATTAGAGAAATCACATAAGTGACAATTGAGAGTTTACATGGACATATATTCATGAATTTAGTTATCACCGTGTTTCGCTTTACCAATCTACACCCAACACTATATCAAATTGTTAATAGTGTGTCTAACCAGTACATATGTAGTCTACTAACAAGCCCATATCTCGATTAAAGACGACACTAAGCACTGCTGTATCAAACCGTCAGTTTTATGTCCAACTTTTACGTCTATAGACATACTGGCCAATCCAATAGCTCCGTTCATGACTTCTATGTAATTACTAACCATTTTTATGGACAAGTATTCATAAAAAAAATCAAGTGATATATGAAAAGGTTAGCTGTATTTTAAATGTTTTGTAGGCTGCGTTAGGGCATTGGTACCAGGACAAGTTGAAAGACAGGGGTCAGTTTAACAATCGCGTAATCTTTAATAAGACACTAAATGATGATCGGTCTGGTGAGAGAGTCAGTATGACTCTGATAATTGTCACAATGGAAGATTTTGGATGGGAATATGCCTGTTATGTAGTACTTGGTGATGGTGAAGAAACATCAACAAGAACAAAATTAAAAGGTAACTATACAGAATTACAGTAACTTGTTGTGTTTTTTTTCTGAAAAGATGTTGCTTAAGATGTTCCGAAATAGATAGTGAATATATTGAAAAATTCAGTCAAATTACTTTATTCAGAGCGAAACTTTTAATGGCTGGGGTGTTCTAATCTACTCAATATCGGAGCCATCCGATGGCCCAGAAAGTTAATTATGGACTTATGGATAATATTTCTAGGAATTCATGTAACCGACGTTGGTATCAATATGTTGTTGTATTTACAGTGGAATATATATGTCAGTTATTCGATTGGTCTACAAAAGATAACCACGAATTGTCGCAACTATCTCGTCCCCAAGGTTTTTGTCAAAGGGGAATAAGTCCGGAACAAAAAGTCGCTGAAATTTTAGACCAATGGGAATAACTCAGACACGAAAAGTGGCGGAAGGTTGAACATCACTAGGGTTCTTACTTTCATGACCAAAATACGTCACACCAACTGTTAAAAAATATCCATTAGCGATTTAAAGATGGGTTCCCAGAAAAGTATTTATCGGGTGGTTATTTCCAATAAAAGTATGGCAATTTTTGTTTATATGGAAAGTAGAGATATCCAATCTCAATATTACTAGAAAAATACTGGATTCCCCGAAAAACACTCATGGAGCGTATACAGGACAAAAATGTAAGGGTTCCCCTAATCGACAGCCCGACGATTAGGAAATTCTGCACGCGTGATCTCAAAGGTCACACGCGGAGATTGAGCGCGTGATGTACAAGTTGATAAACTTTATGAAGAGTTAGACGTACAACACTTTTGGAGATAACAATGACGGAAAAAGACACGGTTAGTGGATAATTCGAGAATTTAATTAGGATTCGATATCTGTAATAAATATTAAGCGATTAAAGACAACATCGTCTTTGTATGCAATGAATTCTCCTCTGACTTCTAAGAGAGGCAAGTCACGTGACGTAAACATGATCTGGTTTGATCGAATTTTTATAGCAGGGCATTCCTTGGCAATTACATTGTTGAGAAGGATTTGAAGCAAAATTATGACAAATTAATTAGTTTGAATATGTTTTTATTCCATATATACCATTAAATCACCCAGTTTGTACGCGGGAATGTATCTTTAAGTGTCTATTGCGTTCACAAATTAATTGTTGACGGAATCGACGAACGGATTGTTGGCGTAGTGCTAACAAACTGAAATGTGGGCTTCTAATAAGACTTAAAGGGGGTGAATAGTCAAGAGGGGTGGTTATATCAATTTTACTATTTTTGTAGAACGAGAGGTATATATAACAGATTTAAAAACATCACCAGCTACCAGACCATTTGTTCGTTTCAGTACAATAGTATTACTTGTTATTGTCTCCTCCATTATTTCTCACATCCCACAGAACTAGTGAGTATATAATACTACTTGTTATTAGCTTTGACATTATATGACTAGTAAGTACATTTGCTACTTGTTATTGTCTCTCACATCTCACATGACTAGTAAGTACATAATACTACTTGCGATTGTCTCTCACATCTGTAAAACAATGGTATGGAGCTGTGTATCACGCATGTATTAATGAAGCTAGTTAGTAAGACTTTACTTTAATATTATTAGATAATATAATGTATGATTGCTGGTGTTAATGACCGATAATAATATATATATTATATCTTCGATATATGTTCAGCTGTGTACATATTCCTTATTCAATGTTACTAATGACTGTTCAATTATATTTCTTTACCTACAAGTGAATTAGTATAAATTGGCTTTGGTTTCTCACCAGAGAAGGGTCTCTGTATTTCTAGCATTTTAATAATGTTGTTTATGCCAGAATAAATTACTATTGAATCCAGTATTGTGAAGACAAGTAAAACGAAATTTTGAACCATAAAAAAACGAAACGAAATAACATCTGTGTTTTAATCAGATTGAACGAAAAAGCCAAAGAGAAAACACTTTTCAGGTAAATTTTGAACCAAATGGTTTCTGTCCCCAAAATTACATTTTGCCCCCCCCCCACCCCGCCCCAAAACAATAGGAATCTTACACACAAATGTGCAGCGGAATTAAAAAGTAATATTTTTACCAAGCTCTAAGAAAATCATCATTTAAATCAGCGTGATCTCGTGTACCGCCAATTTTACTCCCCCCCCCCCCCACTTCAATACAGGCACTGTCAACTGTTTTTCGTGGGTTCTTTATGATGGCTCTTTAAATAAAATGTCATGGTTAAAAAAAAGGTAAAGTATGCGTTTTCATGAGAACGTTTA